GGTTTTTAGGCAGCTGTGTCAGCAGCATAGTTCACTACCAGCATAATGAGCTCCATTTATTCCTACTGTAAAACGCTGCTTTCACTGTGAGATGATTTTCTTTTCTAACTCTGCGTTTTAAAGATCTCAGACGCTGCAGACTCGATCTCCACCGCCCCTCTGATCACCTTCGTGTGTTAATGTTGATGATGAAATATTACAGTGATGGTGGTGAATAATGAGGAGGCGGAGCTGAACGTGTGTCTGTTTATTAGGAGGAGTAACGTTAGCGCGCTCGGCTAAAGCGTTTGGGAAATGGAGACTGAAACTGGGGAGCGGCGACGCTCTGATAAACAGCAGGGGGCGCTCTCACTCTCTTTCGTTTTGACCTTTTTTACAGCTGTCTGACTAAATAACTTCATTATTTTAATTACATGTTTACGTTTGCATGTTCGGTTGCTAGGTAACAAACCTGACAGCTGACCGTCGACTATGATCGAGTAGGTTAAGATTTCCTAACTTGAGATAAGATGCTGTAAGAATGTTTCTCTTATTTTAGTGTAAATCAGTATATTTTTAAAGACTGTGTCTGTAAAGATCATAGTGGCTTTTCTTATTTCAAACAAAAACGATGGTTCTTTAAGGGTTCTTTAGTAAAGATATATAAAAACATGAAAGCTCAAAGAACCTTTTTAATGCTTAAATGGTTCTTTGCATGGTAAAATTGTTCTTCATTTTGATGAAGAATGTGTTGTATATGGTTCTATATAGCACAAAAAGGGTTCTTCTATTGCTACAAGCTTGCCATTGTAACAATAGCAGAACTCCTTTTGGTGCTCTATAGAACCATTTTCAAAAAGGTTCTATATAGAACCATACACAACACATTCTCCATCAATCTGAAAAAATATTTCACCATGCAAAGAACCATTTAAGAATGCAAATGCCTCTTTGAGCGTTCATGGTTCTATACAGAACCATTGTCTTTAGTAAAGAGCCCCTGAAGAACTTTTTTTTTAATGAGTGTTTATAAATAATATTGTGGGAGGGAAGTTTTGGCCAGAGGAAACACTGACTTACACTTCTCAGTGACTGAAATCAAGCTGATAAGTGCTGACCTACCTCAAGCGCATAACATCAACCAGTAGAACCCGTAATATGACATAAAGACCACCCTGTAGTTTGATTGTATGCGATCATTTTGACTGTTGGCTATAAACTCTGAAGCTAAAGTTGATGCTAATTGCACAGAGCATTCTTTAAAGGCAGTAACGTAGCTGACTGAGATTAAAGAACATTTTTGAAGCACACATCAAGCCGCCCCTCCCATCTATGAGATCTCTTACTGCACAGTAAACATTACAGACGCCCTGCAGCAACATCACTGCATGGACACTGTTAATGTTAATATTATTACACAGTATTATAAATACGATTATTTATACTGATTACACTGATTACTGATACACAAATCTGATTACACAGATTTTCTAGGTGAAAATAAGATACATAATGATACACATGGGACAATATTAATACACATAGATACTTGCATATATGTAACTCATTATATATTATGTTTACATATAGATAATATGTCCCATATGTACTACATATATAAGTACACTCTTATAAGAGATGGTTCCTCAAGGGTTCTTTATTAAAGACAACGGTTCTATACCAAACCTTTTTGAAAAGAACAAGGCTCTGCTATTATTACATTGTCAAGCTTGTAACAACAGAAGAATCCTTTCTGGTTCTATACAGAACCATATACAAGACATTCTTTATCCATCTGAAGAACGATTTAACCATGCAAAGAACCATTTAAGCATGAAAAAGGTTCTTTGAGTGCACACAGAACCACTGTCTTTATTAAAGAACCCCTGAAGGTCCATCTTTTGTAAGAGTGTATCTATATGTAACAATTTATCCCATAAATTTATGTGTAATAATAATTGTACATGTCGTATATTTATTATACAGAGTTGTATGTAAAAGTTTGGGCATCAACTTTGTTGATTTTTAATACATAATTACTGTTTATTTACTGAGTTTAACATATTGTGGCCTGTGCGAAAGTTATGGCACCTGTAATACTTTAAAACTGTGCAGAAAAAGTTTGTTCTCTGTAGAGGGCGCTTTAACTTACTTACACTTAAAAAATCAAGGTAATTTGATGAGGGGTGTTTCACTTTGCATACAACTGTATATGTAACATAATGCAACATTAAAAGATAGTGAACTACAGTGTTAAATAGGAGTGAAATATATATAAATATAATGATAGGGGGAGTAAAATGAATCTGTTTGTCAATTAGCTGCATTAATTTTGCAATATTGTGAATGATTATAATTGATCATAATAAGATTAAAAATTTTGGGCCAAAATAAATTTTTTTTCTTTTTTTCAGTACTGCGACTGTCCTCTGGTAACATTTTTTATATCTACTGCATTTTAATAATAAAATCATAAATTGTACCAAAATAACTGAAATAAACCGAGTCTAATTGAATCAAACTGAACTGAATCAAACTGAATCATATTCACTGAATCACCCCTAAAGAATCATAATTATAGCAGAACCGAATCATTGTGAGGTCAGAGATTTACACTCGAAGTGTCTAACGAGGTCACACGCGCACACACACACACTCTCTCCACAGATCAGCACTAGCACGGAGTGGACAGAACTGACCGCACCTTTCTCCGGCGTGCAGCAGGCGGAACCCATGGCCAAAAAAACTCCAATCAGCTGAAATTCCCATCACAGAATTCCTAAATCCGTGGCCTAGCTGAGGAGACAGGGGGGTAATCCGGCACACGGAGGGGTCCCGGGGTCTGGAAAACTGACCAGGGCAGCTACGGAGGAGCTGCTGGACGAACTGGACCTCATGGTGCCGGCCTGGCCGGACGCTAATCCTACCAAACGCTGCTAGCGGCTTTTCCTCATTCTGCCTGCAGGACAGCTGGGGGCCGCTCAGGGAAACAATCACGGATTACCTCTCCTTTATTTATTTCTTTCCCCTGGACTTTATTTATATATTTATTTATATATGTGTTCCGTTGTGTCTGCGCGGCCTCTCTAATCCGGCTGAGTCTTAATGTTTTCAGCCATTAGCATTGGTTAACATTTCTCACACTGAACGATTACCTCTCCTTTATTTATTTATTCTGCCTTCATTTGTTTACTTGTTTATTTGTTTACAGCCTCTCCAATCCAGTGTTAATTTAAAAGATATCAAAATATGCACAAAATGTATAAAAATTTACACCCCACATGACACACAGCCAATAACATAAGGTAACATTTCCAACATAAACAAATTTCCACGCTTTTACTTATTGTTTGTTTATTTTCTCTTCATTTATTTATTTGTTTGTTTTGTTTGTCTGTAGTCTTTCCAGACAGCTGAATCTTTTTTCTTGGTCTCAGTAAGAAATGACATTATTATTATTATTATTATTATTATTATTGCATGATACTTATATATTTATAATAATAATAATAATAATAACAAGGCAAATGCAAATACTATGCATTTTTCTCTCTCTCTCTCCATCTATCAATCTCTCTCTGTCTCTCTTTTTCTCTGTTCCTTTCTCTCTATCTCTCTTTCTCTCTCCCTCTGTGTCTCTCTCTCTCTTCTCTCTCTGTTTCTCTCTCTTCCTCTCTCTTGTCTCTCTCCACTCTCTCTCTCTCTCTCTGGATGGTGTAAATGCTGAGTTGAATGAGGACTGTAATCCAGTAAGGGGTCAGAGGGGCGGAGAACAATGAAATCTAAATCCAATCAAAGCTCAGATCCTCCATACTGAGCACACACACACACACACACACACACACACACACAAAGATGAAGCTCTGCTTTTACTACTTTAATCATCTTAAAGGGAAACTCCAATAATTAAAAATTCTCCCTAGTTCAGTGTGTGAGGTGTAATCAGAGAGATTCGGAGTGGTTTGGTGTGAAATGGTTCAGATGTCTTTACAGTGGTGGTGATAGGAACCAGGCGTCGCCATGACTACAACACAAATGTAGACATTTTATTTACTATCCAGAACCACCAGTGAACCTACACGAGTCTTCTGGGTTTATATGGAATGTTGATGATGGAAAATAGTGGAAAATCTGAATTTATAAGTGTCCTTTGGGGACTATTTTGCATGTATCCCTCCACCATGAATGAATTTTACGGCTGAAATCGTGTCAAAGCTATCATAAAACAGTGTCTCAGTCATCAGGCAGTGAAATCATAACCATTTCATATAATAACAAATAAATGAACCCGCTTTGGCCGTGTTGTCACAGCGTGTTGTTATTGTTCAGTGTGGCTCCCGTCGCACAAAGCTGACGTAAACCGCCGCGCGATGATGTTTGGATCTGGTCTGTTTGGGGTAATTTGGGGAAAGTACAGAAATCCTTTATGCCGTATGAATCGGTCAGTCAAATCACACACTTACTACATTACCGGAGCTGCTCTGGTAAACTAATCCAGCTCCAATAGGGCTTTGACTGCAGCTGAGGGGCTCTATTGATATTAAAGGAGCTTTTGTCAGCTCAGAGCTCTAGAAGGCAGCTGCCCAGTCACAGGAAGCTTACTAGGCACCATGCACAGAGAACACTACATCACAGACCCAAAGGCGGCAGGGTGTTAACAGCGCTGAAAACAAGCAGAGGCTTTATTAACAGGCCTATTCAATAACACTGGGCCTCATTCACCAATATCTCTAAGTCTGTTCTTAAGTGTGTTCTTGAGAAAGGTCCTAAGAAAACGTCAACGTCAGATTCCTGACGTGTTCTTAAAGCGCAGAACTGTTCTCACCTTTGTGCTCTTGTGTGTGTAGAATCTGTTCTTACCTAAGAACAAATCTCAAATAAGAAAACATTGGTGAATGTCAGAATCTTCGTAAGTGGGTTTTAAGAAGAAATTTCTTCTTAGGAACGGTTGGTGAATGAGGCCCAATGTTCCTTGTTATCATTAGGACCTATAAGGAAACATCTCAGAGGGAATGACTCACCTATGTCGCTCTCTTTGTGGTTCTTGATCAGCTCAGCGAGCTCAAAGTTCCCAGCGATGATGGCCACCTGCAGCACAGAGTGAAGAACAGGATCATATATTTTTGAGCGACTTTTCCGCAAAATGTTGTGGTGGAAGCTGAAGCGGATCAGTGTTGGAGCGGATACGCACACCTGAGCCTGAGCTTCGGCTAAAAAGGTCTGATTATCGTGGCATTTTGCTAAAATATTTATATCATCATGCAGATCAGATTATAATTTCTGTGACATGTTCACTTTGCTTCAAAATCACTTAAAATCTCTTTACATTAACTTACATTAAAAGTTAAGAATGTTTTTGCCATCTCCTGTTGTTGACTTGTGAAGTCATTATAAAAGTTGCGAAGAATAAACCACACAGAGTCGTGCACTTTTGAGGAGAAGGTTAGATTTATTTTAGACATCTTCATACAGAAATGTTCACAGATCACCAGTTGGTTCCTTCTCCCACAGAAAAGCAGGAGCAAACACCAGTTGTACAGTGTTATCACCCTCAACTGGCCCAACAAGCCCAACAAGTATCAAGGTTGTGTATCCTTGATAGAGAGACTGAGAAGTCCAGAACATCCTAAGATGACCTAAAAGGATCAGGCCTTTAGAGACAGAATGACTATAAGCATATAGGAGTAATACAATTAACCACAATCCAACGATCCCGCTGTGATCATGTATGAAAGAAAATGATCAAAAACTATATCATTTTGATTAAATGCTGATTAAATACACAAAACTACCAAACTAACATTCTAGGCTGAGCTTTCTTTGGGCAGTGACGATATGTGACACCATTACTCCAGCTAACAATATTGATTGGGTGTTTTCATATTTGTATTTTGTTCAACTCTTCACTCTTAAGAAAGATGGTTCTCCAAGGGTTCTTTAGCAAAGACAGTGGTCTGACAGGTGGAGGAGACCGACATCAGGAGCTAACAGCCATCCTACAGCACTGTAAACATAACAGCACTTTTAAAAATGATGGTTCTTCAAGGGTTCTTTAGTAAACCAATGGTTCTATACAGAACCATGAACACAAAGAGCCATTTCCACGCTTAAATGTTTTTATTTCATGGTGAAATGGTTCTTCAGATTGATGGAGAATGTTTTGTGTACATAACTATATGGAATCTTTTTGAATATGGTTCTATATAGCACAAAAAAGGGTTCTTCTATTGTTATGATGTCGAGCTTGTAACAATAGAAGAACCCTTTCGGGTGCTATATGGATCCATATATAACACATTCTCCATCAATCTGAAAAACTATTTCACCATGCAAAGAACCATTTAAGCATGCAAATGTTCATGGTTCTATACAGAGCCGCTGTCTTCACTAAAGAACCCTTGAAGAACCATCTTTTTAAAGCGTGATAGTTTTGTCTTTACAGTGCTGTAATCTTCGTCTCGTCTACTTGTCAGAGTAAATTTCCAAGCCTGTTCACTTATATTCAGTTAGAACTGCATTCAGATTATTTAAATTAAAAATAAATAAAATGATGATAAAATCAATCTGGTGGCAGAAAGACCTGATCAGCCATCTATTTATTCTATTTTATAATAAAGTAACTTAAATAATTCCATCAGATGGACTTTAAGAAGGAAACAGTTGATACACCTACTGCACTGGACAGTAAAGCCCTGACTGATTAATGTACTGATCGTGTGCATTTAATCTGGACATGACTTGAACTCTTGGGCTAAGATTTGACTTTAACCATCTGCAGCCTCTAATCACAACTCACTGAACTACACACATACACATATACACTACATGTCCAAAAGTATGTGGACAGCCCTCCTAATTGTTGAGGTGTTTCAGGTGTTTCAGCCACACACATTACTAACAGGTGTATAAAATCAAGTACATAGTCTTGCAGTCTCCATAGACCAACACTGGCAGTAGAGGGTCGCACTGAAGAGCTCAGTGACTTTGGCACTGTTATAGGATGCTGCCTCTGCCACAAGTCAGTGTGTGAAGTTTCTGTCCTGCAGATCTGCCCCAGACCACTGCGAGTGCTATTATTGTGAAATGGAAGCGTCATATGATCAACAACAGCTCAGCCACGAAGCGGTAGATCACGCAAACTGACAGAGCTGAGAGGTGAAGTCAGCACAAGAACTGTGCATCAGGAGCTTCATGAAATGGGTTTCAATGTCTGAGCAGCTGCACACAAGCCTAAGATCACTATGCGCAATGCCACGCGTCGGCTGGAGTGGCATATAGGGCACTTTCTACTGGGAGGTAGAAACCCTAACCCTAAAACTCACCTGTATGTTTCCTTTTTTCTACAGTAAACGGGTTTTGGGCAGCAGGACGCTAACATTACTGCTACTGAGTGCTGATGGGTTGGCGAGCGGAGCAGCTCATTGGCTGATCGTGCCCACTGACGTTGTAAATGTACATGAGGTGCCGTTTTAAAACTCGAGTTTAAAAGCTCTTAAAAATATAACAGCAGTGTTAAAATGTTTTATGCTGCTCTGTGTTCAGGAAATTAATGAATTCTTTTACATTAAAAATGTTTCAGCATTTATAAACTATGATTTTGCCCAAATGCTCCATATCAACCCATTCATTCTGGACTCGCTCGGGAGCGCCCTCTAGCGTTTGAGAAACCCGGAAGTGGTAATTCTCCTTTCTACAAGTTCTCTGGGTGGAGCCTTATTTTAGCCACGCCCTGCATTTTAGAGCAGGAAGTGAGGCTTCATCCCTGTCCCTCATGGCCACATGGTGAGCAGTTAGATCCCATTGTTTTGAAGTAAATGTGTCCCAAAGTCTGAAAATCTTTTTTGCTGAAACACTAGTCAAAGCTGTGTTTGCTGGTCATGAACTGCTGAGTTTTTGAGCTCAAAATTAGCTAAAATTGTCACCACCGAAACAGTCACTACTGAAACAGTCACTACTGAAACACTTGGTAAAAGATTGTTTTAGTAGTGACAAAATGGAATGTTGAATCATTAGTTTTAATAAAGTAAACATAACTAGCGTCACTCAAAACAAAAGATTTTAGTCTGAAGTCCAAAGTCCCAAATGTGTTTCAGCTCTGACCAGTTCAGTACACTCTAAAATTATGGTTCTTCAATAAAGACAATGGTTCTATATAGAACCATGAACACTTAAAAAAACATTTACGGGGCTCCCGAGTGGCGCAACCGTCTAAGCGTTGTCCCTCATCATCGCGAGTTCGATCCCTGGTGATGCTACAGCCGTCCGTAGCCGGGAGTCCGAGAGAGCACAATTGGCCTCGCTCTCTCTGGGTGGGTGGGATGGCCCCTCCTTCTCCCCCCATCACTCAGCGCGATGCTAGTCAGCGCAGGCGTCTGTTAGCTGACGTAACAGATCTGGCGGTTGGCGCTTTCCTCCGAGCGCGTTCGGCTGTCCAGTGACGTTGCGTGAGCGGCAGCTCGAAAAGAAGCGGTGGCTGGTTTCACAGGTCTCGGAGGAAGCCTGTGTTAGCCTTCACCCTCCTAGCGTTGATAGCATCGTGTGATTGGGGGAGTCCTAACTAGCGGGTGGAATTGGAGGCGACTAAATTGGGGAGAAAACTGGGTTAAAATCCCCCAAAAAAACCATTTACATACTTACAGTTCTTTAGACCGATGGAGAATGTGTTATACATGGTTCTATATAGAACGCTTCTGAAAATTGTTCTATATAGCACCAACAAGGGTTTGTCTACTGTGTACAAGCTTGACATCATAGTAGTACACTCTTAAAAAAAGTTGGTGCTTCAAAGGTTCTTTAGTAAAGAAAATGATTCTATATAGAACCCTGAACACTCAAAGAACCTTCTACATGATTAAAGGTTCTTTGCATCATGAAAAGGTTCTTCAGATGGAGAATGTGCATGAATGTGCTATACAGAAACTTTTAGAAAAGGGTTCTATATAGCACCACAAGCTTGACATCGTAACAATAGAAAAACCCTTTTGGGTGCTATATAGAACCCTTTTCCAAAAGGTTCTAAATGGAACCATGTACAACACATTCTCCATCAATCTGAAGAACCATTTCATGATGCAAAGAACCCTTTAATCATGCAAAAGGTTCTCTGAGTGTTCATGGTTCTATAGAAAGCCACTGTCTTTATTAAGGAACCCTTACAGAACCATCTTTTATAGTGTTTAATAACCCATATCTAAGTGTTTGTAACACTTGTATGTATTTTGCTTACAGGATTTACTTCGTGTTTGCAGTGTGACTCAGGAAGGTCTTATTCACAGTGCTAAGCCAGTCAATGAGAATGTGTGGTGTAGATTCAGAGACTCTAAAGCTTCATCCATCCTCCTGCAGTCTGATACGGAGGAGGACGCGGCTCAACAAACACTAAAAATAACAAACGCGCCGTTTCATTCAGCAGCAGGAATTTTTCCAGAACAACCAGCATTAAAACCTCAGCGTTTCTCCAAAAGCCCTCCTGCGCCCCCCCCCATGCTGCTTATGCTTTAATGTAGTTATGTTATAACTGAAGTTTGGGGGGAGGAGCATGCCTGAAACCCCGCCTTCTTCCAATCCAACGGCCTATAAATCCGCATCCTCGCCTTCCGTTCCTATGACGACGTGTTCTCAATCTTGTCTCCTCCCTGTTCCTCAGTCCTGCATCAGTCCTACTACAGCTATGAGGGGGTCCGGCCTTCTAGCTACAGGCAGAAGCTGCACAGAACTCCAGCCCAAGTTCTCAGGGTTCTCCTCCTCCCTCAGTCAGTCTTCCCTCATACTACCACCGCCATGTTGAAGGCACGGTCTGAACTCACAAAAAATCCTTTACATTTTTGCTTTTCTTTATTCATTTACTGAAATCAAAAGAAAATAAAAGTGCAAACTCAAAACCGTAGACAATATATTCAATGTAAATCGATTCTATATCACAGTACATAATAAATTATGAACAGTTCCATGCATAACAATTATGTAATGTAAAACCAATGTATTTTGCCAGTCTCTGAACAAAACCTTGTATCTTTCAAAAAAGTAACTTTCAATTTAAGTTAATATAAATCATTTTCTACCCTCCTTTACTTTTTAAATGACTTGGT